AGAATGCATGTCTGTATGTAGTTACACACACTATATCCATACACATACTCACATACGTTCACAGGACTACCATTCATATGTGTTCAGTACATTTTGAAATGCAACTGTAAAACTTAAAAAAGTCAAAAGGCAAACAAAGTGAAAGATGCGTACATACTTGGTACTTACATACAGTTGCATAATGTATCGTATTTGGGTGTCTTTGGTTGGTGCAGCGTGAGTAGAGCTGTGGAAAACATTTGTAGGTGGGTATAACGCTCCAGTAACCTGCTTACCTGAGCTTCTGAAACCCGTCTCTGGATTTTTTTTATATGTTGTCAAATGTTTCTTCTCCCAGTACTGTACATGATCAAATGTATAACAAATACGTATACTGTTTATTTGTCCCTCAGGGAGGGAGGAATAACCTTTAATTTTCTTTAAATTATTTATTTTAAAATATATATGTCTCTATTGCCCACACACACGGCACCACCACTAACATGTCTCTCCACACACTACACTGCAAACAGCCCCATGCACAACTCCTCCAGCAGCCTCGCCCATTCAAAGCCGCACACCCAACCAACAAGTAGAATCCACACATGCAGCCACTGAATACACACAAAATATCAGAAACATCCTCCCCACACGTAGGCATACATAACACCACATGTAGTCTATGCTGCACACACAACACCACAAGCAACCTCCCTCCAAATGTACACAAAATCCCAAGCTGCTTCCCTATACACACACACACACCATCTTCTCCCAGCCCTGTCCTAAACCATTGACAAGTCAACAGGAAACATACACCAAGAATGCAATTAAAGGAACACTAAAGGCACCCAGACCACTTTATCTCAATGAAGTGGTCTGGTTGCAGTATCCCTGTCCCCTAAGCCTGCGATCTAAAACATTGCAGCTTTAGAGATAGCCCTTGAAAGTAGTGCTTCTGCATTTAGATGGAGTTTAACTCTGTGAAATGACACTGGATATCCTCACGCTTTGCATGAGGATGTCCAGAATCTTGAAAAAAACCATAGTGCTTTCTTATGTGAAGGACTAATAATGTAAGTGCTGCGTGTGTGAATTAGGCTGTAACGGCTTACCTTGGTTGGGAGTCTGTAGCGCAGATATATGCTGACCCTTGCAATTAAACACAAGCCACAGTGGTCAGAGAAGAACTCACCTGGCCTGTGAGTCTGTGCAGGATGATGCTCCAAGTCGCAGTACAGATACGGACATAAACAGGAGAATCGTCGTGGGTAAGCCAAAGGTCAGTGGGTGCCAGAAATCAGGATAAACCAATAGAGAGCTGAGGTCAGAGGATGCCAGAAGTCAGGATACACGAAATAACAAGCCAAGGTCAGGAATCAACAGGAGAACACTGGAACATTAAACAGCAAGGGCCACCAGATGGGCCTCTTCAATGCAGTCCCGGCGGTTCTAAAGCGCAGGCTGGGGCCGCGTAACTTAGCCGGCAGGCACCCCAGTTGCCGGGCCCCCTGGAGTGACATGCACGGTTGCAGCTGTGACCTCTTCAGTTCCGCCACTGCCTTGTACATTCGGTAATGGAGTATGATAGCAAGCATTTAGTTGGGCCATTTCTAGTTAATGTTAGTCATGGGAACCTCAGTGCAGGATACTTTACCCAATTTACACTAGTGCTCATGTTGAAGGGAATGGTGAGCAAATGTGCACCGGTTCGCCTTAAAGGGACACCATCTTTACCCAGACCTCTTCATTTCAATGAAGTGGTCTGGGTGTTGTGTCGCTATCCTTTTAACACTGCAATGTTTACATTGCAGGGCTAAGTGCACCTCTAGTGGCTATGAGTATCACAGCCACTAGAGGCGCTTCCGCTGCACTGACCGAGTAAAGTATGGCCACGCCACCTACGTGATGTCATGGGAGGCAGAGAGGTAAGCTCAAAAAAAGGTGAGTAAAACTATACCCAGGGATAGAGACACTATAATGTTTGGAATTTAACCAGAGTCCTAGTTTTATTTGCTTTTTTCCCCTCTTAATAAGTTAGTTGACTACTTCTTGTCAAACTGGGTGTTAAGAAGTATTACTTTATATGATATCAGCATCAACAGGGCTCCCGGGGTTGGTTCACAGTGACCCCTCCTTATTATCAAGTCAATTGAAAACATATTATTGTTTCTATAGTCATCTAGTATATAACAATGTAGATATGCTTCATATGACTGTAATCTTAAATTATTTCTTTCAGTCGATTTTCTTCTAAAATTGTATTGAAAGTTGTATTAAAAACCAAAATCTTTGAGAATAAACCACTAAGAATGTTCTCACTTGTCCTGATACACTGTAGGAAGGAGGTCACCCTTCATCAGATAGAAATGCAACATTTGCTCGAACAGTATCACAATGAAGGAAAACACTACGTGATGTGAAGGAAGGAAACATAGGGAGGGGGGAAACAATAGTTTGGGAGAGACGCTTAATAAAACACAAAGTTCCTGCTGCCTTCCTCTCCTCCCCCGTTTTCGCTGTGTGAGCCTGAATTAATCCTGCAGCCCTAACGAAAGGAGAGCTAATACACAGAAGATACAAATATTCACAAAGAAGAGCCTTTTTATGTCCATCTCATGTCTGCTGATGTCTGTGGTTCAGAATGACCCGGTCATAACCTAAATCTAGACAGTTCTAGAACAAATAGGATTACAGGCACTGTGCTGAAGGACTATGGACAGAGATAACAGGACACTTCCTATAGGGGATATGGCAAGGCCGGGTTACTAACAGCAACCATAATCCTAAAATATAACTGTCTGTCCGACTGACTCTATCCATACTCGTGCATATATCTGGCCATGTGTCAAAAAAACTATTTTTACATGTAAAGTTATCAGTCATATCTGTATCAACTTGTATCAACGTCCTGTCTACCTCATCTTCGTTCTAACGCCTCTTTATATTGTGATCTTATTTTCCTTTTTTGTTGTATGTATCGATCATTTTCTCTTTTCATTCCTCTACCTCTGCCCGTCTGTTTCTTTTTCTATATATATCTATATATCTTTGTGAGTTCAGGCAAGAAACACATTTCCATGTGAACAGCTGTCCTCTGGATCCTCCTTTTTTTGAGGATCTATCGTTGGGGAAAAAAAAACTGTTTGAAGGAGTAGGAGAGAGGACTGGGAGGAGAGAGCAATATCTTGGAATTTGTACAGATTTAAAAACTGAACTGATAACAGGCTGTTTGGAATATGGATAAAGCACTCCTGAGTATCTCGCGCGGTAAAGGTAAGGTTCTAAAATTAGAAACAGAACAGTAATTATGAAGAACATATATGCTAGCTATCTTAAAAGATATATGTATTAAATGAAATATATATCTCTAGAATGTAAGCTCATTGAGCAGGGCCCTCCACCCCCTCTGTTCCTGTACGTCCAGTTGTCTGGTTACAATTACATGTCGGTGCGCTACGGAATCTGATGGCACTATATAATAATAATAATATATATACCCAATGATGCTAGGTCTGTCATGTATTTAAAATTGTGCTTCTGCAATGATTTGCTCAAATACTGAGCACCAAAACTTGCCAAGAGTTAAACAGGGGTCTTTTAGGGACAGACATGGCTGTTCTCTAAAGTGAGAATTCAAACTTGCTTTCAAATCTAAGACCAAAATAGCTAAACTGGAAAAACTGAAGTCAGTCAGCGATGCTTCTAGTTTAACTAATATGGCCATAAATCTGAAAATTCACTTTGAATTCTCAACTTAGTAAGTAACCATGTGAGAGTTTCCTAATTCCAAGGTTATTAAGGCTTTGTTTGTTTATACAGATTGGGTGTCAGCTTACTTCAGTATGTAGGGTCTACGGTAATAATACAACTGCTGAAGTTTATCAGTGTCACTTTAACATTTGGCCACTTTAACATTTGCCTAGCAAACTGAGTATAGCCTGCTAGAAAGTGTTTTCGAAAATGCAGGTCCTGTCCTGTATAGTTTGTTGTGATAAACATGAGATAAAAGTCAAAATGTATATTAAAAATTATTTTATTTAGTAAAAAAAAGATTACAAATTGACTGAAAAAAATACAATTTGTAACTGGATTAATTCTTTCTTGTGTTGACAAATCTGCAGTGGTAAGGTCTAGTGATGTGGTCAAGATTTGAACGCACAAAATGTCACATTTAGGGCTGACTTTAGCACCTCAGACATTTATCAACTACAAGTCTCATGATGCTCGGACAGCTTAGTGTCTGACCTAGCGTTACCGGAGATGTAGACCACAAACTTTGATGTCTTTGCATTTTGCTGTGTGTTCAGTTCTCTACTGTCTGTATCAATTGCATTTGCAATCAAAACAGTTCTCTGCAGATTTGTATTGTGTGTCAGAAAAAGACACTAATGACGAGAACAATATGACTATCGCTTTTGGAGTCATTATTTTTTCCCTTTTTTGAGGGTAAAAATTTCTTCAGTTATTTTTTATATATCCCGTTGATTTGTCACCTTTAACAAACTCAAATGTAGAGGTATATCCTAGTTTGTATTTATAAATATGCACTGTTTTTATTGTCTTTATTAATCATATATAAACAAATTACATGGTTTGTGTATATATGTATGTATACGTTCAAACATATCTGTGTGTGTAAGTGTTTGAGGTTTATTCTTGTTCTGTGTGTATGTCTGGCTAGCTGTGTCTGCATCAGCGTCTGGGTACCATTTTGTGCTTATAAATGTTTTAGCTGCAGCATCACTGTCTAGGTTTTTCTGCACATCAATCAAATATGTTCAGCTTTACTTCATCGGGTTCTACCACTGTAGGTGAATGCGAAATCTGTAGATCAGAGCTGATGTCAACTTTATCCTGTATGTCTAAATCCTCTCTAAATTTGTTTTAGTCACCAAATACCTGTTTGTATTGCACATCCATATGTGCAGTGCAGACCTGCTAAATAGTTTGGTGGTTAATAAATAATATAGTGTCACTGATGTATATTAATACTTGTAAATATGTGTATATTTGCATCTTTTTTATGATCAGTTCTCTGTTTGTTGACTGTTTTTTGGAGCGGAGTTACCAGCAAAGACAAACTACTTGTCGGTCTATAAGTGCATTATGAGCGTACGGTGCTGAATCTGGTGTCTATTAGACAGTGAAAGGGTTATTACAATTCTCCTTTACATAGACACATGCATCCCCTCGTTACCCACTCCACCCTCCCTCCTACATTAATCTATCCAGATACTGCAAATGTTATACATGTATACATAGAATAACGAATAAAAAATGCTATAATTCTAGGTGATAAGGTAAAATAATGATCCTGACTGTATGTCTGTACTTTAGCATTCTGTATACATTTGATGTACACATCACAGCCCCCCTACATGTGTTTCATCCTGCATGCTTTCTATTTTAGTATTGGGTCACTGGGGCCACAACACTCCCTCCTGTAATGGCTGTGCATGTTATGCCTGTGTTTATAAGAGAAGCAATGTGTCATTGCATTCGGAACTGTTGGAAATCTAATTACAGTGACATAAGAATATTAGCATAAATTAATCTGTCTATAAGTCTCTGGTTACCTATGCAAAAACAATTACACTTTTATTGTTTTTACACCAAGCGGCTAATTACTAGATGCTGTTTTAAGTAAGAAAAATTAAAGATTTGTTTTATTTAATGGAAATGGGCAAACAAACACATAGATATTTTGGATTCTAAGGAAATTGCAGTTTGAAGCAAGGTTTAATGAAACTAGAAAGTCCAGGACATAGATGGGTTTATTCACTAAATTGCAGAGGATTGAAAAGGAAGAGGAAACTGTTAGGCCAACATTTTTAGGAAAAAGAAATCTCAAATTCAGTTATTTTCCAGCTTGGCTATTTTGGCTAATTGATTTGTTGTTATGTTGTCAATTCCCCACAATTTCTGGTTTAGAATCTTTAAGAATCAGAGAAGGAATACTCCATAGTGGATTTACTAGCCTTCTTTATTCATCATTCAGGTAATACACAGTGGTGTACAAAGAGGGGATTCATCCACCGTGGGTGACAGTTGGAAGACGATATATACAACACTCCCCCCCCTCCCCCTCCCATACTAGCATTCTTTGTACTTGGCTGGGCAGGATCACGGTAGAGATTAGCATGTTTTTCTACTTGGATTGTTATTGGGGCTCCATGCAATGATGATAGGGGATAAGGATATGATGCTCATTTATATCTCCACCTGTCTGGTCATTCACTGCAATCTGCACCAAAGATAGGGTGGGCAGAGAAATATGCAGATCCTCAGCCACAGTCAGAACTGTCCACAAAGAATTTTCCAGTGGTGGCACTATCACTCTTAGACCCTATTTAAATAATAATAATAATAACAAAATATTTAACCAGGAATGGTACATTCAGATTGCTCTGGTTTCCAAGTACATCCTGGAGATGTTACTTTTGCCCAAAATCCAGGGGAAGTTACTATTACCCAACTGAATGGTACTCATTTTATCTAACGGAAGGATGAAGGGCTGAGTCAACCCTGCCGGGATTTGAACCTGCGAACCCATAGGGTTGAACAGATTTTACCCATGATGCATTAGCCCACTGGCAAAGTCCACAAGGGCACTTGCTTTCATTTGCCCTATGCTGCAGATGTCCATGGCCAGAGTTCTACTCAGCTATGCTACAATAGGAGGTAGGATGGAGGCAGGTGTGACACATAAGGTATAAGGACAGTTGTTGAAAAGACACGTACGTGGTAGGGAGGCTCGAGAGACATTTCAGAGGGTATGGAGTGATGGCTTGAAAGACATATAAGAGGGATAAACAGGGTTGTTTTTTGTGGTGGAGGGGTTTGGCTGGAGAGAACATAAGAGTGAAGGAAGGGTAGCAGAAAAACATATCGAATAAGGAGGAGGGCTGAAGAGACAAAAAAGGGGTAGGAAGGTTGATGAACAGATAGATAAAGTATGGGAGTGTTGTTGAAGGTACAATTAAGATTAGGCAAGGGAGCTGGAGAGACACATGAGGGGTAGGGAGGAAGCTGAAAGACAAAATGGGGATCTGGGGGAAAAGGCACAAAGAAATGACAATCCTGTCCTTAGTATCATACTGCCTAGGAACACCTCTGCTTAAACATTAATGCATTTAAACAATATACTTCTGATTATATCTCTTTTCTAAAAAAATTTAAATGTTCCCAGCAAGGTGATCTCTTTTTCTTACCAATTCGTGGCAGTTGCAATCTCGGTAGAACTATTGAAATGACCATGACCATAAACATTTATTTTTTTAATAGATGCATTCAATAAGCTAAAGAAATATTAAAAAATAAAATGCTTTTTGGTGAATGCATAAAATTACAGGAGGGGGTGTTCAGGTTTTTACCGTGGATTGTCTTTGCCTTGACAATTCCCAGTTCCTACTAGCTTTTAGTATTCATTCCATGGGCGTCCACAGGGGGGAAGAGGGGAGGGGCTTGTTCTGCTAATTTTCTTGTGATTGAAAATACAGTGCAATACCGGTGCCGGCCAGTAGTTGGCGGTGTGTATGGAGAGAGACAGGGATAGGAAGCTGCATCTTATCACTGCTTCTCTCTGACTGAATCCGCAGGGGAGCAACACATACAGCCAGCAGAGACAGCCTACAGATCAGGTAAGTGAGGCATAAGGGGGTCACAGATAGCCTACAGATAAGGGAAGTGAGGCATGGTGGGGGAGCAGAGATAGCATACAGATCAGGTAAGCGAGGCATGGTGGGGGGTGAGAGATAGCCTACAGATCAGGTAAGTGATGCATGGGGGGGGTGAGAGATAGCCTACAGATCAGGGAAGTGAGGCATTGGGGGGGAAGGCAGGCAGAGATAGCCTACAGATCAGGTAAGTGAGGCACATGGGGGGCAGAGATAGGCTACAGGAAGGGTCAGCAAGGACCAGGAAGGTAAAGTAAGAGAAGGAGCAGAAAGGAGAAGGAACAGAAATGAGCAGGAAGGGTCATCAAGGAGCAGAAAGGGGCAGGAAGGAGCTTGAAGGGACAGCAAGTAGCACAAAAGGTAAAGTAGGAGAAGGAGCACAAAGGTACAGAAATGAGCAGGAAGGGGCAGCAAGGAGCATGAAGGGTCAGCAAGAAGCAGGATGGGTCAGCAAGGAGAAGGAAGGGTCAGCAAGAAGCTGGAAGGTAAAGCAGCACAAAGGTAAAGTAGAAAGAGTAGAAAGGGTCAGCAAGGAGCTGGAAAGGGCAGTAAGGAGCTGGAAAGGGCAGCAAGGAGCAGGAAGGGACAGAAGGAGTACAAAGGTGAAGTAGGAGAAGGAACAGAAATGAGCAGGAAGGAAGATCAAGGAGCAGAAAGGGTCAACAATGAGCTGGAAGGAGCAGAAGTAGCACAAATGTAAATTAGGAGAAGGAGCAGAAATTAGCAGGAAGGGTCTGCAAGGAGGAGGAAGGGTCTGCAAGGGGCAGCAAGGAGCAGGAAGGGCCTGCAAGGAGAAGGAAGGGTGTGCAAAAAGCAGAAAGGGACAGAAGGAGCACAAAGGTAAAGGAGCAGAAAGAATCAGAAGGAGCACAAAGGTAAAGTAGGAGAAGGAGCGGAAAGGGATCAGAAAGTGAAAGGAGCAGAAGGGGGAGCAAAATAAGCAGAAAGTAACAGAAAGGTAAAGGAGCCAAGGAGGAGAGAAGACAGTGTAAGAAGAAAAAGAAGACTGTGTCAAATGAAGGAGAAGAAAAGGAGATTGGAGCAGGAAGGACAAGTGAAGTGAACCCTCCACTTTATTCTGGACACTATATCATAAGGCTTTGGTACCTGGGCCTGGTAGGGAAACTTTGGACCTTCTCATCTCCCCAGATAAAAAAAAAAATTATCAGTGTTAATGTGTTCACTTTTATTTACTGAGTGTCAGGAAGCACAGAGGGCCGCTGGGGAGGGGTGTAGCTGATTGGCTAAAGCGGTCAGCTGGCACTCTAAGCCAATCAGTAGCTCCCCATTCATAAAAAAGTTAAAAAAAATGTATGAACTGGGAAGTGGTGATTGGCTTAGAGCGTCAACTGACCACTCTAGCCAATGTCAATCTGCACTTCCTGACACTCCGTTTCAGAAGCCGAATACCACTGAGCGACCTGGAGCTGGAGGAAGCCTTTGGGGTTAAACCATTTGAGAGCGGTTTAACCCCTTAAAGGAGAGAGAGCACCCAGGGGCTTCCTGGCATCATAGCATTTTCATTTAGATGAAGTTGTTATGGTGACCAGAATGTTCCTTTAATTTGCTTAAAGGAACACTATAGTGTCAGGAATACAAACATGTATTCCTGACACCACAGTTGTAAAAACGCTATTCACCCTGGCTTTATGTGATAATGACTATGCTCCTCCCCTTCATGACTGTAGCGTTACTTACCTTAACCGGGGGCCGGTCGCGGTCCTCTCTTCAAGCCGCGCGCGGTCCTGCGGCTGCACGAGCCGCGCGCGGCTCATCCAACTACTTCGGATGGAGGGCGGGCAGTGACCGCGTGAGGCGGTCACGTGTCCCGCCTGAAACTAAGAGCGCGCCGCGAGTCTCGGGCGCGCTCTTAAAGGGACAGTGGGTGCCTAAATTGGAAAAGGCATCCCATTGGTCCCTGTCATGCCACACTCCCCATACACTTACCTTTTGGGGGCGTGGATGTGACAGGGACCAATCAAATTAGATGTTTAGGTATTTATACTCACCTTCTTCCCTTTGTTCCTTGCCCTATCGTGGTTTCTGTTTCAGTTCCCTTTAGCGCTTGTGGTGTTCAGTTGTGTTTTCTCGTATTGACTTTGGCTTCGTATTCTGACTTCGTTTTCGCTTTATCCTTATCTGTACTGTTTGCCGGCTTGCTGTTTTCCGTGTACCAGACCCCGGCTTGTCCTAGTTTACGCTGTCTCTCTGTGCCCTTGACCTCGGTTTGTTCCTGGCTCTGTCTTCCTCTCATATACGTCGAGTCCGGCCATTCTAAGGTCCGGTAGACGTATCTCTCCTCTGTATTTGCCTCTGTTTAGCTGGATCCTGCGTGTAGGGGTATATTCTCATTACATTACGATAGGGCCATGGACCCCGCAGATTTAGCTCAACAGATGGCGTCCCATGAGGCAAGATTTGTAGAGCAGGATCACCGTATGGATCAAATAGCTCAGGCTCTCCAGACGCTCCTAGCTAGAACCGTTCCAGCAACTACACCTAACCCTCCTACGCCCCTTCTCCCTGAAGTATCTACTTTGCCTAATACTTCGGCCCATTTAACACCTCCTCCTAGGTATGGAGGGGACTCTAAGACTTGCAGAGGGTTTATTAATCAGATTGAATTTCACTTCGAAATGTATCCACGTTCATTTCCCACAGAGAGGTCTAAGGTTGGGTTCTTTATGCACCAACTTACCGATAAGGCACTTGAGTGGGCAAATCCTATTTGGGAAGCTAATGGGCCTATGGTACATGATTT